AGGGGAACACACACACACACACAAAATAATCCACAGCGAAGAGCACAAACTAGCCGCTACCGGTGTCTCCTTCTCGGAGAACAGGTAGACGTGCCGACGGGTCAAAGGTTGGGCGCAAGTGACTGGATCGGTTAGCGCGCATCCCATATAACCACGGAGGGCCTGACCGGCAGTTGAGTTAAAATCGACGCGTCCTACACATTAAGGTTACTATTGATGCTGGATCCCAGTGAGATTAACAACATCATAACTGTGGTATCGAACTTCAAAACGTGCAGAAAGTTGTTATGAAGGTGGCATGGGCCCTGTAATATTATGCTAAGAACTGCTTCAGATACCGCTGTGATCGCTGTCTCGTCACAATTTTACTTTAGTATGTTGTAATCAGGAGACAAAATCCATTCCGGTGTGGAAGGGGGGGGGGGTAATTTCCGAAGAACTTTTCCTTTTTCTTCAGTAGTTTGATTGTAAAGCTTTTCTTTCTTTTTTTTAACTTTTTTTTTTTTGGTGACAAAATGTCGAGCTGGCATCATGAGGCTCGTTTTAAGCCCAGGTTCACAAAAATATCAAACGTGTGTCGTTAACACGGCGTTCAGATATGAGTGGTCACTGGGCTGTGTCTTTGATAAAAAATCAAGCGACGATAGCCTTAGCTAAAAAAAAACCAAAAAAAAACAATAGGATGCCGCTCAGTGGCGACCAGCAATTGTGAGTGGTTAGTCAATTTTTGTGGCATTATGTGTTTTACTAATGCATTAAAATTTGTGTATTTATGTACGCCATTGTAAAACAAATTTCCCATGGGGACCAGTTAAGCGGAATTAAACTAAACTTTTTAAAAATTTTGTGTTTTATGTACTACTCACGGTGATCAATCTTCTCCAGCTCGCTCAAGATGTACTCATGTGGTGTAGTCTTAGTGTTCCTGCCCCGCGTCATGGCCTGCCGAGACTCGTACTGTCGCGCGTACATTGGCTTCACCTGGAAAGGAAGAGAAAGAAGGACCGTATTATTTACTGTTCTCAAAAGGAAATTGGTTGAAAGACAGATTTTCTTTTTAAATCCAAAAATGCTTAGAAGCCTCTCAACACTAAAGAAACTGTGGAAAATCTTAAACACTTGTAATAATATTATAAATTAAGTACATTCAAACTTGCGCATGGGCATACACACACACTTACACACACACACACTTACACACACACACACACACACACACACACACACACACACACACACAGACTGATAGCT